TCGCTGTCCCCGGCCCCCCCTCCCTCAGCCCAACCCCCGGTCCGCCCCCCCCCAGCACCGCCCGGTCCCCGTTCCCCCTCCCGGTGTCCCCCCCCCGGGTCCCGGCACCGCTCACCCCGCTCCAGCCCCTATCGGCGCCCCCCTCCCCACCGGGTCCCGGTGCCCCGGTCCCTATCGCGATCGCCCCCGATCCCCTCCGGTGCCGGTGCCGGTGCCCCCCCCCCCGGTATCCGCTCACGGCGCCCATCTCGGTCTCGTCGCCGTCGCTGCCCTCCTCGGTCTCCAGGTCGATATCGAACACCCCCGCCATGACGGCGCCGTTACCGGGACCCCGGCGGGACCCGCCCCGATGGCCCCGCCCCCTTCCGCGTAGCCCCGCCCCTCCTCCTCCTCCCGTCGCCCCGCCCCTCCCGCTGCCCTATGGGGGGGGTGGGGAGGGGGGTGGGTCCCGGTGAAGCGGGGGGGGGGGGCACAAACGGGGTCGTGCAAGGACAACAACGGAGCCAGCGCCGCCGCTCACAGCCTTTAATGCGCCCCCCCCGCGCCGGGCCTCCCGTGACGTCATCGGTGACGACACATGGGGGGGGGCATCCCGGGAGGAGGAGGTGGAGGCACTGTAGGGGTTGTGTGTTGTTGTAGGGTCGCTACTGTTATTGTAGGGTTTCAGGCTCTATAGGCGCTGTGTGTTGTTGTAGGGTCGCTACTGTTATTGTAGGGTTTCAGGCTCTATAGGCGCTGTGTGTTATTGTAGGGTCGCTACTGTTATTGTAGGGTTTCAGGCTCTATAGGCGCTGTGTGTTATTGTAGGGTCGCTACTGTTATTGTAGGGTTTCAGGCTCTATAGGCGCTGTGTGTTATTGTAGGGTCGCTACTGTTATTGTAGGGTTTCAGGCTCTATAGGCGCTGTGTGTTATTGTAGGGTCGCTACTGTTATTGTAGGGTTTCAGGCTCTATAGGCGCTGTGTGTTATTGTAGGGTCGCTACTGTTATTGTAGGGTTTCAGGCTCTATAGGCGCTGTGTGTTATTGTAGGGTCGCTACTGTTAATGTAGGGTTTCAGGTTCTATAGGCGCTGTGTGTTGTTGTAGGGTCGCTACTGTTAATGTAGGGTTTCAGGCTCTATAGGCGCTGTGTGGTGGTGTAGGGTCGCTACTGTTATTGTAGGGTTTCAGGCTCTATAGGCGCTGTGTGTTGTTGTAGGGTCGCTACTGTTATTGTAGGGTTTCAGGCTCTATAGGCGCTGTGTGTTATTGTAGGGTCGCTACTGTTAATGTAGGGTTTCAGGTTCTATAGGCGCTGTGTGTTGTTGTAGGGTCGCTACTGTTAATGTAGGGTTTCAGGCTCTATAGGCGCTGTGTGTTGTAGGGTTGCTACTGTTATTGTAGGGTCTCAGGCTCTATAGGTGCTGTGTGGTGGTGTAGGGTCGCTACTGTTATTGTAGGATCTGGGGCACTATAGGGATTATGTATTATTGTAGGGTCACTACTGTTAATGTAGGGTCTCAGGCACTATAGGGATTGTGTGTTGTTGTAGGGTCGCTACTGTTAATATAGGGTCTCAGGCACTCTAGGGATTGTGTGTTGTTGTAGGATCTCAGGCACTATAGGAGAGGTGTGTTGTTGTAGGGTTGCTACTGTCACTGTAGGATCTCAGGCCCTGTAAGGATTGTGTATTATTGTAGGGTCTCTGGCACTATGGGGGCCGTGTGTTACTGTAGGGTCGCTACTGTTATGGTAGGGTCTCAAGCATTACAGGGGTTATGTGTTATTGTAGGTTGCTGGTGTTGTAGGGTCACTGGCACTATAGGGCTGTTTGTTATTGCAGAGTCTTAGGCACTATCGGGGCTGTATTACTGTAGGGTCACTATTGTTATTGTAGGGTCGCAGGCACTACAAGGCCTGTGTGTTATTGTAGGGTCTCTGGTGCTACAAGGCTGTTTGTTATTGTAGAGTCTCAGGCACTGTAGGGGCTGTGTATTATTGTAGGGTCATTGCTGTTATTGTAGGGTTTAAGGCACACAGGGACTGCGTATTATTGTAAGGTCGCTATTGCTATTGTAGGGTCTCAGGCACTACAGGAACTGTGTGTTATTATGGGGTCACTACTGTTATTGTAGGGTCTCAGGCACTACAGGAACTGTGTGTTATTATGGGGTCACTACTGTTATTGTAGGGTCTCAGGCACTACAGGAACTGTGTGTTATTATGGGGTCACTACTGTTATTGTAGGGTCTCAGGCACTACAGGAACTGTGTGTTATTATGGGGTCACTACTGTTATTGTAGGGTCTCAGGCACTACAGGAACTGTGTGTTATTATGGGGTCACTACTGTTTATTGTAGGGTCTCAGGCACTACAGGAACTGTGTGTTATTGTAGGGTCACTACTGTTATTGTAGGGTCTCAGGCACTACAGGAACTGTGTGTTATTGTAGGGTCACTACTGTTATTGTAGGGTCTCAGGCACTACAGGAACTGTGTTATTATGGGGTCACTACTGTTATTGTAGGGTCTCAGGCACTACAGGAACTGTGTGTTATTGTAGGGTCACTACTGTTATTGTAGGGTCTCAGGCACTACAGGAACTGTGTTATTATGGGGTCACTACTGTTATTGTAGGGTCTCAGGCACTACAGGAACTGTGTGTTATTATGGGGTCACTACTGTTATTGTAGGGTCTCAGGCACTACAGGAACTGTGTGTTATTGTAGGGTCACTACTGTTATTGTAGGGTCTCAGGCACTACAGGAACTGTGTGTTATTATGGGGTCACTACTGTTATTGTAGGGTCTCAGGCACTACAGGAACTGTGTGTTATTATGGGGTCACTACTGTTATTGTAGGGTCTCAGGCACTACAGGAACTGTGTTATTATGGGGTCACTACTGTTATTGTAGGGTCTCAGGCACTACAGGAACTGTGTGTTATTATGGGGTCACTACTGTTATTGTAGGGTCTCAGGCACTACAGGAACTGTGTGTTATTATGGGGTCACTACTGTTATTGTAGGGTCTCAGGCACTACAGGAACTGTGTGTTATTATGGGGTTACTACTGTTATTATAGGGTCTCAGGAACTACAGGGGCTGTGTTATTGTTATTATAGGGTTGCTACTGTTGTTGTAGGGTCTCTGGCATTACAGGGACTGTGTGTATTGAGGACCACCTCAGTCTGGTACTGTGGTGTCTCTCCCATGATGGTTTGTTATTGTAGGGTCTCCCCCACACTGCTTTGTTGTTGTAGGGTCTTCCCACGCTGGTGTGTGTTCCCTGCCTGTCCCCTGGCATAGGAGGGACACCAGACCCCACAACTATGGGGGCAGGGGGTGCTGGAACAGGGTTTGGGGGTGCCAGGGCAGGGAATTGGGATGAGAGGAGCCAGGGGATGGGATGCCAGGGCTTGCCATGGGACGAGGTGCCAGGGCAGGAGATTGGGGATGTTGGGGAGCAGGGAATGGAGTAGCAGGGCCTTGGGAGATACCAGAGGATGGGGTGCCAGGATGGAGTGAGATGCTGCGGGATGGGTCACCAAAGCAGGGAATGGGGATGCCAAGGAAGGGGGTGCCAGGGGATGGGATGTCATGGGGTAGGGTGTCAGGGGACGGGTGCCAGAATGGAATCGGATGCCAGGGGATGAGTCACTGGGGCAGGGAACTTGGAGCCAGAGGAGCCAGGGGACGGGATGCCAGGGGATAGGGTGCCAGGGGATGGGGATGCCAGGGGATAGGGTGCCAGGGGATGGGATGCCAGGGGTTAGGGTGCCAACGGGATGGGATGCCAGGGGATAGGGTGCCAACGGGACGGGATGCCAGGGGATAGGGTGCCAGAGGACGGGATGCCAGGGGTTAGGGTGCCAGGGGACGGGATGCCAGGGGATAGGGTGCCAGAGGACGGGATGCCAGGGGATAGGGTGCCAACGGGATGGGATGCTGGGGGATAGGGTGCCAGGGGATGGGATGCCAGGGGATAGGGTGCCAGGGGACGGGATGCCAGGGGTTAGGGTGCCAGAGGACGGGATGCCAGGGGATTCAGGGCATGCCAGGGGATGTCATGGGACGGGATATCATATGATGGGACGCCAGGGGATGGTGTTTCACGGTGCTGCGGGGATGCTGGGGCAGCGCTGCCGCAGGAGGGGGCGCCAGGGCAGAGCCTGGGTGCCCATCCCGCCCCGTCCCCGCCGCTATTTGAAGTGCGAGAGGAAATGCTCCACCGGGTACCGCGGGGAGTCGATGCCCAGCGCCTGGCAGAGCGTCAGCAGGCGCGCACAAGCCTCGGCCCTCGTCTCGGCGCCGCACGCCACGCTCAGGCAGGGCTCCTCGTACTCGCCGTCGGCCGCCGTCTCCTCGAAGAGCCGGTTGAGGCGGACGAGCCCCCGGCTCTGCAGCTCCCGCAGCGCCCGCAGCGCCCCGCCGGCCCCCAGCACGGCTCCGTGCTCCGAGCCCAAGCACATCACCCCGGCCAAGTGCGTGCGGGCCGCGGGCCGGGCGGGCAGCACCGGCGGCAGCCCCAGGGCCACCAGCACGGCCGCCAGGAGCAGGTCGGCGCCGTAGACCTCCCGGATCCAGTCGCGGAGGTAGAACCCCCCCCATGCGGGGGTTGATCTCCAGCAAGCGGGGCCCGGCCGGCCCCAGTTTGAGCTCCACGTTGAAGACGCCGTCGCGGAGCCCGCAGGCCAGGCAGCACTGCAGGGCTGCCCGCACCAGCTGCGCCTGCCGGTCGGGGGGCAGGCAGGACGGGAGGCAAGCGGCGGTCTCCAGGCAGGCGGGCAGGCGCGTGGGGCCGTTGTCGGACACCCAAGCGCCCATCAAGCGGCCTTCGAAGAGCACCAGGTCCACGTCGTGCTCCGTGCCGGGCACGTACTCCATGAGCAGCATCGCGTTGCCCCAGCCCAAGCCGATGCCGGGGTGGTCGGAGTCCTCCCGCAGGTCTCGCCAGAGCCGGGCCGCGTGTTCGTGGCACTGCTCCGGGCTCTCCACCAGCTTCACCCCGACGCCGCCGGCTCCGAACTCCAGCTTGGCCACGGCCGGGAAGGGCACGGCCGCCGCCGCCCGCTCCACGTCCCCGTGGCTCTGCAGCCGGCAGCAGGGCACGGCGAAGGCGGCCGGGGCCGGGCGGCCGCGGCTGCAGCTCCGCAGGTGCCGGTGAGTGCGGCTCTTGTGCTTGGCCACCCGGACGGCGGCGGCCGGGCTGCAGCGCAGCCCCAAGCGCTCGCACACCAGGGCCGCCAGCACCACGCAGTCGTCCCAATAGGAGAGGCAGGCGTGGGGCTGCAGCCCCCGGGAGCGCAGCAGCTCCGCCACCCGCTCGGCGTGCTCCTCGTCCCGCCGGTGCTCCCGGCTGTCGTACGGCAGGAAGCTCTCCACCAGCCCCGCCGCGAAGTGCTCCGGGTCCGACTCCACCAGGTGGATCTGCGGCCCCAAAGAGGCGTTGCCGTCGAGGGCGGCAGCGCGCCCCGCAGCATCCCGAGCCCAGCTCCGTCCTCACCCTCAGCCCGTAGTGGCGGGCTGCATCCCAGACGAAGCTCTTGCTGACGCCACCGGCGCCGATGAGCAGGATGTCCTTGCCCTCGACGAGGCGACACTGCGCCCGGTGCAGCATGGCCTCGGCCAGCAGCCGCGCCGTGTCACCGTGGGGCTGCCCCACGGCGCGCCCCATAGCCTCGGCCAGCAGGCAGGTCTCCAGGCACCGCTGGCTGTTGGTGGACAGGGCCACCAGCTCCAAGGCGTCGTCCAGCAAGAAGTCCACGCCTGGCGGTGAGGATGGGGGACGCGGCGCTCAGCGACGGCACCGCCGTCCCCGTGGGGTGGCACCCCACGTGCCCCCCACGCTCACCCATGATGTCGGTGCGGGCACGGGCGCCGCCGCGCTGCTCGGGGCTCAGCTCGGCCTCGGCGGCCAGGACCGCGGCCATGGCGGCCTCGGCGGCCTCCCGCAGGCGCGTGGCCAGGGCCTGGCGCTGCTCGGGGGCTGCCACCCCCCAGTGCCGCAGGCTGGAGTCCAACCCCTGCGGCAGCGCCGCGCCGTGATGCACCGGGGCCTCCGCGTGCCCCACGGAGCAGGACACCTGCGGGGACACCGCCATGTGGGGCCGCAGCCCCGAGAGTGGGGGGTATCCTACAGGCTGGGGGCACGCGGGGACAACAGGGCATGGGGGCGTGAGCAGGGCATGGGGATGTGAGCAGGGCATGGGGACATGGGATGTCACCCCATAGGCTGGGGGCACGCGGGGACAACAGGGCATGGGGACGTGAGCAGGGCATGGGGATGTGATCAGGGCATGGGGACATGGGATGTCACCCCATAGACTGGGGGCACGTGGGGACAACAGGGCATGGGGACGTGAGCAGGGCATGGGGATGTGACCAGGGCATGGGGACATGGGATGTCACCCCATAGGCTGAGGGTATGCAGGGGTAACAGAGCATGGGGACATGACCAGGGCATGGGGACGTGACCAAGGCATGGGGACATGGATGGCCATCATAGATTGAGGATATGCAGAACAACAGGGTATGGGGACGTGAGCAAGGCATGGGGACATGGGATGTCGACCCATAGACTGGGGGTATGCAGGGGTAACAGGGCATGGGGACGTGACCAAGGCATGGGGATGGGCACCATCACCTATGGACACTTAGGGTCACCAAGACATGGGGACGGGGATGGGCACCATCACCTATGGACACTTAGGGTCACCAAGACATGGGGACGGGGATGGGCACCATCACCTATGGACACTTAGGGTGTGTGGGACGGGGATGGGCACCATCACCTATGGACACTTAGGGTCACCGAGGCATGGGGACGGGGATGGGCACCATCACCTATGGACACTTAGGGTCACCGAGGCATGGGGACGGCGATGGGCACCATCACCTATGGACACTTAGGGTCACCAAGACATGGGGACGGCGATGGGCACCATCACCTATGGACACTTAGGGTCACCAAGACATGGGGACGGCGATGGGCACCATCACCTATGGACACTTAGGGTGTGTGGGACGGGGATGGGCACCATCACCTATGGACACTTAGGGTGTGTGGGACGGGGATGGGCACCATAGCCGGGGCTCACCCAGGACCACCAGGGCACGCATCCTTGTGCTCCCAGCCCCTTCCCTGCAGGCTCAGCCCTCCCCACCCGCAGCGCCCGTACCTGGCAGAGCTGGGGCCGGTCCCCCCAGGACCTGCAGACCAGGGTGCAGATGCGCAGGGCCAGGGGCAGCCGCGGGGCTGGGCTGCCTGGGGGGCGAGGGGCAGGGCAGGCACCGCCGCACGGGGACGGGGGTCCCTGCCCGATCCCCCCCCCCACACACATCCCGTGGCTCCTGGCACTGCACTGGTGGCTCTGGGCAAACCCAGTGCCGGGGTCCAGCATGGCCAATGCCAGCCCCATGGGGCTGCGGGGTCAGAGCTGGTCACCCCAATACCCTGCCCTGCCATGGGGGTCTAGGGTGGAAGCCTTCCCCCCTACCCCAGGGCACTATAGGGGTTCAAGGTGACCGTACCCCAACCCCACACCACTCTGAGGGTCTGCTGGGGCCACGTTATCCCCCAAACCCAGGGCACCATAGGGGTCCAATGTGAACACTGTCCCCCCCCCCGTCCATCACCCCAGGGCACCATAGGGGTCCAATGTCACCATCACCCCAGGGCACCATAGGGGTCCAATGTCACCATCATCCCCCCCTCCATCACCCCAGGGCACCATAGGGGTCCAGCGTCCCCGTCTCCCCCCCCCAGCCCCACACCACTCTGGGGGTCCCTCTGTAGCCCCTTTCCCCCCTGCCCCAGGGCACTATGGGGGGTCCAGACCCACACCACCATGGGCCCCCCCCCCCCCCCCCCGTCCTACCCCAGGACCCCAAGGTTGGGTCCCCCCAGGAAGGGACGGGCTCGGACCCAATGGGGGTGATGGGGACCCAAAGGGGGGGATGGGGACCCAAATGGGGGGATGGGGACCCAAAGGTGGGGGATGGGGACCCAAAGGGGGGGATGGGGACCCAATGGGGGTGATGGGGACCCAAATGGGGGGATGGGGACCCAAAGGTGGGGGATGGGGACCCAAAGGGGGGGATGGGGACCCAATGGGGGTGATGGGGACCCAAAGGGGGGGATGGGGACCCAAATGGGGGGATGGGGACCCAAAGGTGGGGGATGGGGACCCAAAGGGGGGGATGGGGACCCAATGGGGGTGATGGGGACCCAAAGGGGGGGATGGGGACCCAAAGGGGGTGATGGGGACCCAAAGGTGGGGGATGGGGACCCAAAGGTGGGGGATGGGGACCCAAAGGGGTGGATAGGGACCCAAAGGTGGGGGATGGGGACCCAAAGGGGGCATGGGGACCCAATGGGGGTGATGGGGACCCAAAGGGGGTGATGGGGACCCTAAGGTGGGGGATGGGGACCCAAAGGTGGGGGATGGGGACCCAATGAGGGTGATGGGGACCCAATGGGGGGTGATGGGGACCCAATGGGGGTGATGGGGACCCAAAGATGGGGATGGGGACCCAATGGGGGTGATGGGGACCCAATGGGGGTGATGGGGACCCAAAGGTGGGGATGGGGACCCAATGGGGGTGATGGGGACCCAAAGGTGGGGGATGGGGACCCAATGGGGGGGATGGGGACCCAAAGGGGGTGATGGGGACCCAAAGGTGGGGGATGGGGACCCAAAGGGGGTGATGGGGACCCAAAGGTGGGGATGGGGACCCAAAGGTGGGGGATGGGGACCCAAAGGGGGGGGATGGGGACCCAAAGGTGGGGGATGGGGACCCAGTGGGGGTGATGGGGACCCAAAGGTGGGGGATGGGGACCCAAAGGGGGGGATGGGGACCCAAAGGTGGGGGATGGGGACCCAAAGGGGGGGATGGGGACCCAAAGGTGGGGGATGGGGACCCAATGGGGGTGATGGGGACCCAAAGGGGGGGATGGGGACCCAAAAGTGGGGGATGGGGACCCAAAGGGGGGGGATGGGGACCCAAAGGTGGGGGATGGGGACCCAAAGGGGGGGATGGGGACCCAAAGGTGGGGGATGGGGACCCAATGGGGGTGATGGGGACCCAAAGGGGGGGATGGGGACCCAAAGGTGGGGGATGGGGACCCAGTGGGGGTGATGGGGACCCAAAGGTGGGGGATGGGGACCCAAAGGGGGTGATGGGGACCCAAAGGTGGGGGATGGGGACCCAAAGGGGGGGATGGGGACCCAAAGGTGGGGGATGGGGACCCAATGGGGGGGATGGGGACCCAATGGGGGGGATGGGGACCCAAATGGGGGGATGGGGACCCAAAGGTGGGGGATGGGGACCCAAAGGGGGGGATGGGGACCCAAAGGGGGGGGATGGGGACCCAATGGGGGGGATGGGGACCCAATGGGGGTGATGGGGACCCAAAGGGGGGGATGGGGACCCAATGGGGGGGATGGGGACCCAATGGGGGGGATGGGGACCCAAATGGGGGGATGGGGACCCAAAGGTGGGGGATGGGGACCCAAAGGGGGGGATGGGGACCCAATGGGGGTGATGGGGACCCAAAGGGGGGGATGGGGACCCAATGGGGGGGATGGGGACCCAATGGGGGTGATGGGGACCCAAAGGGGGGGATGGGGACCCAAAGGGGGGGATGGGGACCCAATGGGGGGGATGGGGACCCAAAGGTGGGGGATGGGGACCCAAAGGTGGGGGATGGGGACCCAATGGGGGTGATGGGGACCCAAAGGTGGGGGATGGGGACCCAATGGGGGGGATGGGGACCCAAAGGGGGGGGATGGGGACCCAAAGGTGGGGGATGGGGACCCAAAGGGGGGGATGGGGACCCAAAGGTGGGGGATGGGGACCCAAAGGTGGGGGATGGGGGGGGTCCCCCGATCTCGGGGCTCTTACGTGTGGGGGGCGCGGGCACGCGCGCGGAGGGCACGAGCGCCTCCACGAGGACGCCGTCATCGTCCCGCAGCGCCCGGAGCCGCGCTCCCACCGCCCCCGCCACCGCCGCCCCCGCCTCCTTCCCGTGCGTGCTGCGGGGGCCCGGGCCGCGCCAGCGCCACCCCGCGGGGCGCACCGACACCTGCGCGGAGGAGCCCGCAGCGCCCCATAGAGACCCAGAGCAACGCAGAGCAGCCCATAGCGCCCCATAGAACCCCATAGCGCCCCATAGAACCCCATAGCGCCCCATAGAACCCCATAGCACCCCATAGAACCCCATAGCGCCCCATAGAACCCCATAGCGCCCCATAGAACCCATAGAACCCCATAGCGCCCCATAGAACCCCATAGCACCCCACAGCACCCCATAGCGCCCCATAGAACCCATAGAACCCCACAGCACCCCATAGCGCCCCATAGAACCCCATAGCACCCCATAGAACCCCACAGCAACACAGAGCACCCCATAGAACCCCATAGCGCCCTATAGAACCCCATAGCACCCCATTACACCCCATAGAACCCCATAGCACCCCATAGCGCCCCATAGAACCCCACAGAACCCCATAGCGCCCTATAGAACCCCATACCACCCCATAGCACCCCATAGAACCCTATAGAACCCCATAGCGCCCTATAGAACCCCATAGCACCCCATAGCACCCCATAGAACCCCATAGAACCCCATAGCGCCCTATAGAACCCCATAGCACCCCATAGAACCCCATAGAACCCCATAGCAACACAGAGGACCCCATAGCACCCCATAGAGCCCCATAGCACCCCATAGCAACACAGAGCACCCCATAGCAACACATGGAACCCCATAGCACCCATAGCACCCCATAGCACCCCATAGCAACACATGGAACCCCATAGAACCCCATAGAACCCCATAGAACCCCATAGCGCCCCATAGAACCCCATAGCGCCCCATAGAACCCCATAGCAACACATGGAACCCCATAGCGCCCATAGCGCCCCATAGCACCCCATAGAACCCCATAGCACCCCATAGAACCCCATAGCGCCCATAGCGCCCCATAGCACCCCATAGCACCCCATAGAACCCTATAGAACCCCATAGCGCCCTATAGAACCCCATAGCACCCCATAGCACCCCATAGAACCCCATAGAGCCCCATAGCAACACAGAGGACCCCATAGCACCCCATAGAGCCCCATAGCACCCCATAGCAACACAGAGCACCCCATAGCAACACATGGAACCCCATAGCACCCATAGCACCCCATAGCACCCCATAGCAACACATGGAACCCCATAGAACCCCATAGAACCCCATAGAACCCCATAGCAACACAGAGGACCCCATAGCACCCCATAGAGCCCCATAGCACCCTATAGCAACACAGAGCACCCCATAGCACCCCATAGCAACACATGGAACCCCATAGCAACACATGGAACCCCATAGCACCCATAGCACCCCATAGCACCCCATAGCAACACATGGAACCCCATAGCAACACATGGAACCCCATAGAACCCCATAGCACCCCATAGCAACACAGAGCACCCCATAGCACCCCATAGCGCCCCATAGAACCCCATAGCACCCAGAGCGCCGCATAGCACCCATAGCGCCGTATAGCATCCTATAGCACCCATAGTGCCCCATAGAACCCCATAGCGCCCATAGCGCACCATAGCACCCATAGCGCCGTATAGCATCCTATAGTACCCATAGTGCCCCATAGAACCCCATAGCGCCAAATAGCATCCTATAGCACCCATAGTGCCCCATAGCACCCATAGCGCCGTATATCATCCTATAGCACCCATAGAGCCCCATAGGACCCATAGCGCCCCATAGCATCCTATAGCACCCCATAGCGCCCCATAGGACCCATAGCGCCCCATAGCATCCTCTAGCACCCCATAGCACCCCATAGGACCCATAGCGCCCCATAGGACCCATAGAGCCTCATAGTATCCTATAGCACCCATAGCAGCCATAGCGCCCCTTAGCACCCCATAGGACCCATAGCGCCCCATAGGACCCATAGAGCCTCATAACATCCTATAGCACCCATAGCGCCCCATAGCACCCATAGCACCCATTAGCGCCCCATAGCATCCTATAGCACCCCATAGCACTCATAGCACCCCACAGCACCCATAGCACCCCATAGCATCCTATAGAACCTCACAGCATCCTATAGCACCCCACAGCACCCATAGCACCCCATAGCATCCTATAGAACCCACAGCATCCTATAGCACCCCACAGCACCCAAAGCACCCACAGCGCCCCATAGAGCCCCATAGCGCCCCATAGCACCCATAGCATCCCTTAGGACCCCATAGCATCCTATAGCACCCCATTGCACCAGCATCACCCACGTGTGTCACCCCCCCACTGTGCCACCGCCACCACCCCAAAGCCACCCAGCACATGGGGCCCCTGTCACCTGGGGTCCCCAGTGACACCCCACGGGTGTGTGACCCATGCGTGCCCCTGGATACCCCATGGGTGCCCCCATGCCCGAGCATGCCCATGACCCCCATGTCCCCCTTACACCCCACATATCCCTGCCCATGTCCCCCCATACTCCATAGGTGTCCCCATGCCCATGTCCCTGCTGTGCCCTATGGGTGTCCCCATGCCCATGTCCCTGCTGTGCCCTATGGGTGTCCCCATGCTCCCCCTGTCCCTGCTGTGCCCTATGGGTGTCCCCATGCCCCCCATGCCCCTGCTGTGCCCTATGGGTGTCCCCATGCCCCTGCTGTGCCCTATGGGTGTCCCCATGTCCCTGCTGTGCCCTACGGATGCCCCCATGCCCCCTATACCCCATTCGTGCCCCATGGATGCCCCCAAGCCCCCCCATGCCCATGTCCGTGTGTTCCCCCCCCCCCCCCCCCCCGCCTGCCCCCCCTCACCTCCCGGTACCGCTCCATGTCCGCCCCGTCCAGGAACGCCACCAGCTCCTCCCGCACCGTTCTCTCCCTCTCCTCGGGGCCGCCCCGGACCCGCACCAGCCTCACCCGGGCTCCCGGAGCCCTTCGGGGAGCTCCGCTCCGGGGGCCGCGGCCCCGACGAAGGCCACGCAGGGGGGCACGGCCAGGCCCGCCCGCTCCGCCAGCACCCAGCGGCCCAGCACCGGGTCCTCGAGGCGGCGGCCGAGCGGCTCCGAGCCCGCCGTGGGGCAGTCGAGGGCCCGGGTGAGCTCCGGCACCCAGCGCCGCTCCGCGCCCCCCCGCCCGTAGGCTCCCAGCACGTAATGGGCACGTCGGGGGGGAGAGAAGGACTCGAGGGCGCTGCGGCCCCCGGCGCCGAAGGAGACCCCGCGGGTGAGCAGCAGGGAGAAGGAGCCCGGAGAAGAGGACGAAGGCACCCGGGTGACCCAGGAGGGAGAGAGGCAGAGAACCATGGAGCCTGCGGGGAGATGGGACCCGAACCCAGGGCTTGGGGGGAGTGAGGGGGTCAATGGGGATGGAGATGGGGGGAATGGGGGTACCCAGCACCATGGAGCCTGCGGGGAGATGGGACCCGAACCCAGGCTTGGGGGGGTGTGAGGGGGTCAATGGGGATGGAGATGGGGGGGAATGGGGGGTACCCAGCACCATGGAGCCTGCGGGGAGATGGGACCCGAACCCAGGGCTTGGGGGGAGTGAGGGGTCAATGGGGATGGAGATGGGGGGAATGGGGGGTACCCCGCAGCATGGGATGGGATTTAACGGGGGCAATGGGGGGTGATGGGGTCAATGGGGATGGAGATGGGGGGAATGGGGGTACCCAGCACCATGGGATGGGATTTAATGGGGGCAATGGGGGGTGATGGGGTCAATGGGGATGGAGATGGGGGGAATGGGGGTACCCAGCACCATGGAGCCTGCGGGGAGATGGGACCCGAACCCAGGGCTTGGGGGGAGTGAGGGGGGTCAATGGGGATGGGGATGGGGGGAATGGGGGTACCCAGCACCATGGGATGGGATTTAATGGGGGCAATGGGGGGTGATGGGGTCAATGGGGATGGAGATGGGGGTAAAGGGGGGGACCCAGCAGCATGGAGCCTGCGGGGAGCGGGGAGATGGGACCCGAACCCAGGGCTTGGGGGGAGTGAGGGGGTCAATGGGGATGGAGATGGGGGGAATGGGGGTACCCAGCACCATGGAGCCTGCGGGGAGATGGGACCCGAACCCAGGGCTTGGGGGAGTGGGGGGGTCAATGGGGATGGAGATGGGGGGAATGGGGGGTACCCAGCAGCATGGGATGGGATTTAACGGGGGCAATGGGGGGGTGATGGGGTCAATGGGGATGGAGATGGGGGGAATGGGGGTACCCAGCACCATGGGATGGGATTTAATGGGGGCAATGGGGGGTGATGGGGTCAATGGGGATGGAGATGGGGGGAATGGGGGTACCCAGCACCATGGGATGGGATTTAATGGGGGCAATGGGGGTGATGGGGTCAATGGGGATGGAGATGGGGGGAATGGGGGGGTACCCCGCAGCATGGGATGGGATTTAATGGGGGCAATGGGGGGTGATGGGGTCAATGGGGATGGAGATGGGGGTAAAGGGGGGGACCCAGCAGCATGGAGCCTGCGGGGAGCGGGGAGATGGGACCCGAACCCAGGGCTTGGGGGGGTGTGAGGGGGTCAATGGGGATGGAGATGGGGGGAATGGGGGTACCCAGCACCATGGAGCCTGCGGGGAGATGGGACCCGAACCCAGGGCTTGGGGGGAGTGAGGGGGTCAATGGGGATGGAGGATGGGGGGAATGGGGGGTACCCAGCAGCATGGGATGGGATTTAACGGGGGCAATGGGGGGTGATGGGGTCAATTGGGATGGAGATGGGGGGGGAATGGGGGTACCCAGCACCATGGGATGGGATTTAATGGGAGCACTGGGTGTGATGGGGTCAATGGGGATGGAGATTGGGGGCATGGGGGGTACCCAGCAGCATGGGATGGGATTTAATGGGGGCAATGGGGTGTGATGGGGTCAATGGGGATGGAGATGGGGGGAATGGGGGGGTAAAGGGGGCACACACACAGGTAAGGGTAAGGGGATGGGGTGACGCTGCAGCTGCCCTCAGCATCATGGGATGGGATTTGGGGCTGATACTGGGGTGTAATGGGGTCAGTGGGGATGGAGATGGGGAGTAGTGGGGGGTGGGTAAAATGGGCACCCATTCAGGTAGGGAGGATAACGGGACTGATGCTGTGGGTGCCCCCAGCACCATGGGGGTGGGATTTGATGGGGGCACTGGGGTATGATGGGGTCAATGGGGATGGAAATGGGGGGTAACGGGGGGGTAAAGGGGGCACCCATTCAGTTAAGGATAAGGGGATGGGGTGATGCTGTGGGTGCTTCCCAGCACCCTGGGGTGGTGGCACTGGGGTTAATGGGGGCACAGATGTGGGGCATGGGGGGTGGTAAAGGGGGCACCCATTCAGGTAAGGGTAAGGGGATGGGGCGATGCTGCGACTGCCCCCAGCACCCTGGGGTGGGATCTGGGGCCGACACTGGGTGCACTGGGGTTAATGGGGATGGAGATGTGGGGCGGGGGGGGGGGGCTCTGCCTCAGTTTCCCTCCTGGCCATGCAGGGGATGCCTTGGCCAGGGGCTGTGGGTTCTCGGGTGTCTCGTATGGGGTGGGGGTGTGGGGCCGGGACCCACCTGGGCAGCGGCTGCCCCCTCGAGCAGGACGGGCAGGAAGGTGCTGGGGGAGCCCAGGATGCAAACGGTCATGGCCGGGGGGCCGCATCCTGCCGTGGGGCCGGGGTCAACAGCGCCGGATGGGGGGCACCGCCGTCACCCTGCCCCTGTCACCCCCATGTGCCCCCATTGCCCACCTTGTCCCTGTCACCCCCATTGCCCCTCCTTGACCCCCTGGTCCCTGTCACCCCCATGTCCGCCTTGACCCCCATTGCCCCCCATTGCCCCCAATGCCCCCCCATGTCCCTGTCTCCCTCCCCATTGCCCCATTGCTCCCCATCACCCCCATTGCCCACCATTGCCCCCCATTTCCCCCATCACCCCCATTGCCCCCCAAGTTCCTGCCCCCCCCATTGCCCACCTTTCCCCCATTTCCCCCATCACCCCCCATCACCCCCATCACCCCCCATCACCCCATAGCCCCCCATCACCCCCCCATCACCACATCACCCCATAGCCCCCATCACCCCCATCTCCCCCATCACCCCACAGCCCCCATCACCCCCATCACCCCATCACCCCATAGCCCCCATCAACCCCATCACCCCCATCACCCCAAAACCCCCATCACCCCCATCACCCCATCACCCCCATCACCCCCATCACCCCATCACCCCCATCACCCCCATCACCCCATCACCCCATCAACCCCATCACCCCCATCACCCCAAAACCCCCATCACCCCCATCACCCCATCACCCCCATCACCCCCATCTCCCCCATCACCCCATAGCCCCCATCACCCCCATCACCCCATCACCCCCATCACCCCCATCACCCCATCACCCCATCAACCCCATCACCCCCATCACCCCAAAACCCCCATCACCCCCATCACCCCATCACCCCCATCACCCCCATCACCCCCATCACCCCCATCACCCCATCACCCCATCACCCCCATCACCCCCATCACCCCATCACCCCCATCACCCCATCACCCCCATCACCCCATCACCCCATCACCCCCATCACCCCCATCACCCCCATCACCCCATAGCCCCCATCACCCCCATCACCCCCATCACCCCCATCACCCCCATCACCCCATAGCCCCCATCACCCCATCACCCCCATCACCCCATCACCCCCATCACCCCATAGCCCCCATCACCCCCATCACCCCCATCACCCCCATCACCCCCATCACCCCATAGCCCCCATCACCCCATCACCCCCATCACCCCCATCACCCCCATCACCCCATAGCCCCCATCACCCCATCACCCCCATCACCCCCATCACCCACTCACCCCCATAGCCCCCATCACCCCATCACCCCCATCACCCCCATCACCCCCATCACCCCATAGCCCCCATCACCCCCATCTCCCCATCTCCCCCATCACCCCATCACCCCCATCTCCCCCATCACCCCATCACCCCATCACCCCCATCACCCCATCACCCCCATCACCCCCATCACCCCATCACCCCCATCACCCCATCACCCCCCATCACCCCCATCACCCCCATAGCCCCATCACCCCCATCTCCCCCATCACCCCCCATCACCCCCATCACCCCCATAACCCCCATCTCCCCCATCACCCCCCATCACCCCCATCACCCCATCACCCCCATAGCCCCCATCACCCCCATCACCCCCCATCACCCCATCACCCACATAGCCCCCATAACCCCCATCACCCCCATCACCCCCATCTCCCCCATCACCCCCTTGCCTCCCATTGCCCCCCGTCCCCACCCGTGCCGTGCTCCTCGGGCCTCTCCTCTGTGGGGGGCAGCCCCTCCTGCCGCAGCGCGCTCTGCAGCCGCTCGTAGGCGCGGGCGGCGCCGTCGCTGTCGCCGCTGTCCTCGGGCTCGTCCCCGCCGGGGGTCTCGGGGTCCTCCCAGCCCGGGCTCAGCGCCTCGGGGCCGGCCCAAGCCGGGTCCTGCGGGAGCGGCTCCGGCTCCGAGCTCGTGTGGTCCTGAGAGAGCTGAGGGAGAGAAACCGGGGTGGGGATGGGGTGGGATGGGGTGGGATGGGATGGGATGGGATGGGAATGGGGATGGGATGGGATGGGATGGGATGGGGATGGGATGGGATGGGATGGGATGGGGATGGGATGGGATGGGATGGGATGGGATGGGGATGGGATGGGATGGGGTGGGATGGGATGGGATGGGATGGGGATGGGGATGGGATGGGATGGGATGGGATGGGATGGGATGGGGATGGGATGGGGTGGGGATGGGGATGGGATGGGGTGGGATGGGATGGGGATGGGATGGGGATGAGATGGGGATGGGATGGGGATGGGAATGGGGACGGGATGGGATAGGGTAGGGATGAGATAGGGATGGGATGGGGGTTGGATGGGCCCGGCATGCACTAAAGGGCTGGAATGGGGCTGGGATGGGGCTGGAATTGGGCTGGAATGGGCTAAGTAGCTGGAACGGGACTGGAATGTTGGCATGGGGCTGAGATGGGATGGGCTGGGATGCACTAAGGAGCTGGACTGAGGCTGCCATGGGGCTGGAGTGGGCTGGGGCTGGGCTGTGGCTGGAATTGGGCTGGAGTGGGCTAAGGAGCTGGAATGAGTCTGGAATGGAACTAATAGGTTGGCATGGGCTGGCACAGGACTAAGGGGCTGGTGTGGGGTTTTAATGTGCTAATGTGTTGGCATGGGGCTGTCATGGGGTTAATAGGTTTGGGATGGGGCTGGCATGGGTCTGGCCTGGGGCTAAAGGGTTGATATGGGGCTAAGGAGGGATATGGGGCTGGTACAGGGCTGGCCTGCGCCTAGAACGGGTTAATGGGTTGGTATGGGATGGCATGGGGCTGGAATGGGACCAAGGGGATAGCATGGGGCTGGCATGTGGCTAATGGGCTGGCATGGGGCTGGCATAGGGCTAATAGGTTGTAATGGGGCTATCATGGGACTGGAATGTGGCTAATGGGTGACATGGGACTGGTGCAGGGCTGGCATGGGGCTGATGGCTTGGGATGCAGCTGGCATGGGACTAGCATTGGGGATAATGGGTTGGCATGGGGCTAGTAGGGGGTGGGACGGGAATAACGGGCTGGCACAGGGTTGGCATGGGGATCGGGGGGGGTGGCATGGGGATAGGATGGGGCCAAGGGGATGGCATGGAGCAGGAATAGGCCAATGGGTTGACATGGGGCTGGCTGGGGGCTAGCATGGGGCTGAGGGGCTATCCTGAGGTGGGCAGGGGCTGGGCACGGGCCTATGGGCTGGGATGGGGCTGGGATGGGACTAGCATGGGGGGAATGGGTTGAGATGAGGCTGCATGGGGGATAAGGGTTGGCATGGGGCTGGCATGGGGATAATGGGTTGGCATGGGGCTGGCATGGGGATAATGGGTTGGCATGGGGCTGGCATGGGGATAATGGGTTGGCATGGGGCTGGCATGGGGATCATGGGTTGGCATGGGGCTGGCATGGGGATAATGGGTTGGCATGGGCTTGGCATGGGGATAATGGGTTGGCATGGGGCTGGCATGGGGATCATGGGTTGGGATGGGGCTGGCATGGGGGTAATGGGTTGAGATGAGGCTGGCATGGGGATAATGGGTTGGCATGGGGCTGGCATGGGGATAATGGGTTGGCATGGGCTTGGCATGGGGATCATGGGTTGGCATGGGGCTGGCATGGGAATAATGGGCCTGGGATGAGACTCGCATGGGGATCATGGGTTGGGATGGGGCTGGCATGGGGATAATGTGTTGTCATGGGGCTGGGATGGGGATAATGGGTTGGGATGGGGTTGGCATGGGGCTGGCATGGGGCTTGCATGGGGATCAGGGGTTGGGATGGGGTTGTCATGGGGCTGGCATGGGGCTGGCATGGGGATCAGGGGTTGGGATGGGGTTGGCATGGGGCTGGCATGGGGATAATGGGATTGGCATGGGACTCACATGGGGATCATGGGTTGGCATGGGGCTGGCATGGGGATCATGGGCCTGGGATGGGACTCGCATGGGGATAATGGGTTGGCATGGGGCTGGCATGGGGATCATGGGTTGGGATGGGCTGGCATGGGGATAATGGGTTGAGATGGGACTCGCATGGGGATCATGGGTTGGGATGGGGTTGGCATAGGGATCATGGGTTGGCATGGGGCTGGCATGGGGATCATGGGTTGGGATGGGGCTTGCATGGGGATAATGGGTTGGGTTGGGGCTGGCATGGGGATCATGGGTTGGCATGGGGCTGGCATGGGGATCATGGGTTGGCATGGCGCTGGCATGGGGATAATGGGTTGGGATGGGGCTGGCATGGGGATCATGGGTTGGGATGGGGCTGGCATGGGGATCATGGGTTGGCATGGGGCTGGCATGGGGATCATGGGTTGGGATGGGGCTGGCATGGGGATAATGGGTTGGCATGGGGCTGGCATGGGGATCATGGGTTGGGATGGGGCTGGCATGGGGATAATGGGTTGGGATGGGGCTGGCATGGGGATCATGGGCTGGGATGGGGCTGGCATGGGGATCATGGGTTGGGATGGGGCTGGCATGGGGATAATGGGTTGGCATGGGGCTGGCATGGGGATCATGGGTTGGGATGGGGCTGGCATGGGGATAATGGGTTGGGATGGGGCTGGCATGGGGATAATGGGTTGGGATGGGGCTGGCATGGGGATCATGGGTTGGCATGGGGCTGGCATGGGGATCATGGGTTGGCATGGGGCTGGCATGGGGATAATGGGTTGGGATGGGGCTGGCATGGGGATCATGGGTTGGGATGGGGCTGGCATGGGGATCATGGGTTGGCATGGCGCTGGCATGGGGATCATGGGTTGGCATGGGGCTGGCATGGGGATAATGGGTTGGCATGGCGCTGGCATGGGGATAATGGGTTGGCATGGCGCTGGCATGGGGATCATGGGTTGGCATGGGGCTGGCATGGGGATAATGGGTTGGCATGGCGCTGGCATGGGGATAATGGGCCTGGGATGGGACTCGCATGGGGATAATGGGTTGGGATGGGGCTGGCATGGGGATAATGGGTTGGGATGGGGCTGGCATGGGGATAATGGGTTGGCATGGGGCTGGCATGGGGATAATGGGTTGGGATGAGGCTGGCATGGGGATCATGGTTTGGGATGGCGCTGGCATGGGGATAATGGGTTGGGATGGGGCTGGCATGGGGATAATGGGTTGGGACAGGGCTGGCATGGGGATCATGGGTTGGGATGGCGCTGGCATGGGGATAATGGGTTGGGATGGGGCTGGCATGGGGATAATGGGTTGGCATGGGGCTGGCATGGGGATCATGGGTTGGCATGGGGCTGGCATGGGGATCATGGGTTGGGATGGGGCTGGCATGGGGATCATGGGTTGGCATGGCGCTGGCATGGGGATAATGGGTTGGGATGGGGCTGGCATGGGGATCATGGGTTGGCATGGCGCTGGCATGGGGATCATGGGTTGGCATGGCGCTGGCATGGGGATAATGGGTTGGGATGGGGCTGGCATGGGGATCATGGGTTGGGATGGGGCTGGCATGGGGATCATGGGTTGGCATGGCGCTGGCATGGGGATAATGGGTTGGGATGGGGCTGGCATGGGGATCATGGGTTGGCATGGGGCTGGCATGGGGATCATGGGTTGGCATGGCGCTGGCATGGGGATAATGGGTTGGGATGGGGCTGGCATGGGGATCATGGGTTGGCATGGGGCTGGCATGGGGATCATGGGTTGGCATGGCGCTGGCATGGGGATAATGGGTTGGGATGGGGCTGGCATGGGGATCATGGGTTGGGATGGGGCTGGCATGGGGATCATGGGTTGGCATGGCGCTGGCATGGGGATAATGGGTTGGGATGGGGCTGGCATGGGGATCATGGGTTGGCATGGGGCTGGCATGGGGATCATGGGTTGGGATGGGGCTGGCATGGGGATAATGGGTTGGGATGGGGCTGGCATGGGGATCATGGGTTGGCATGGGGCTGGCATGGGGATCATGGGTTGGGATGGGGCTGGCATGGGGATAATGGGTTGGGATGGGGCTGGCATGGGGATAATGGGTTGGGATGGGGCTGGCATGGGGATAATGGGTTGGGATGGGGCTGGCATGGGGATAATGGGTTGGGATGGGGCTGGCATGGGGCTGAGGCGTTGACACGGGGCTGGGATGGGGTTAAGGGGCTGGCACGGCGCTGGGATGGGGGCAAGGCTCTGGCACGGCGCTGCCATGGCTCTGCCCCGGGTCCTAAAGGGGCCGGGCCGGGCCCCGGGCTCAGCGCCACCGCCTCGGGGCCCCGGGGCCGTGCCAGGCGCTCCCGGACAAAGCGGGCCCTTGTCCCGCGGGGTCACGCGGCCGGGGGGCACCGAGCGGCACTGCCCGGCACCACCGGCGCTCACCGGGGCCGTTCCCATCGCTCGGACCCGGTTCCCCCCCCCCCCCCCCCGGGGCACACTCACCATGCTGGTGACCGGGGCACTGCAAGAGACGGGCGGGCACGGTCATTGGGGGCTTTGGGGACCTGCCCCCCGTTACCCACCCCCTCCCGTTGGTCACCCCACGTTGTCCCCTCGGTGGCCGCGGTTGAGCCCGAGCTGGGATGGACTCAGTCCCGCATCAGCTGAGCATAACCGGGGGCAACCTCGGGGGGGGCACGGACACAAGTACTGGGGATCCCCCCCCCCCCTGCCATGGGGTGCCCCATATCCCAGCTGGGTGCTTGGGCATGGGGGAAAGCGAGGCACGGAGTGGAGCACCCACACAGGCTCCCCCTGCCCCGCTGCTGGAAACCCCATAGGGGAAGCAGCACTCGAGGGACCACGGGGAGGGGGTCCCCATGGGGTGACAGGATGGGGGTTCCCTCCCCACCAATGAGCACCCCCCAGCACAAGGAACCCCCATGACCATGGGGGGAGCCACGGGGGGGGGTCCCTGCGGGCCCGGTGCCCCAATCCCCAGCTGGGGACCCCCCCGTGCCCCATCCATCCCCATCCTCGGGGTGCCCCTGTTGCCCCCAGTACCTCGGGGCTGGAGCCGTGGCCGCAGAGCGCGCAGGGGACGGAGGCTCGGGGCCGCTGGCGCAGGGGACCGGGGTCAGCGCTGCCCTTTAAACCCCCCCCCGGCCCCGTGGCCCGGATTAGGGGGTGGCAGCGGTGCCACAGAGCCCCATTGTCCCCTCGGCCCCAGCCGCGCTCCCACCCTTGTCCCCGGCCCCGCTCGCAGCCGGGACCCGGCGCTGGGGCGGATGCGGGGGGGGGGGGACGGGCTCGTCCCCGGCCCCGCCGCTCGTCCCCCGGCCCGGTGCCAGCTCCCCGCGGCGTCACCGGCACCGTCACCCGCGGGCACCGAGCCACCGGCGCGGCCACCGCAGCGCCGCGGGGACGTGGCACAGGCATGGGCAGAGCCGGGACACAGCCATGACACAGGCATGATACAGGCATGGTCATCCATGACACAGCCATGGTCATCCATGACACAGGCATGGTCACATCCATGACACAGCCATGGTCATCCATGACACAGGCATGACACAGGCATGACACAGCCATGGTCATCCATGACACAGCCATGACACAGCCATGACACAGCCATGGTCATCCATGACACAGCCATGACACAGCCATGACACAGCCATGGTCATCCATGACACAGGCATGACACAGGCATGATACAGCCATGACACAGCCATGGTCATCCATGACACAGGCATGACACAGCCATGACACAGGCATGGTCATCCATGACACAGCCATGACACAGCCATGGTCATCCATGACACAGCCATGGTCATCCATGACACAGGCATGACACAGGCATGACACAGGCATGACACAGGCATGATACAGGCATGGTCACATCCATGACACAGGCATGGTCACATCCATGACACAGCCATGACACAGGCATGATACAGGCATGGTCACATCCATGACACAGGCATGGTCACATCCATGACACAGGCATGACACAGGCATGGTCAGAGCCATGACACAGCCATGACACAGGCATGGTCACATCCATGACACAAGCATTGTCACATCCATGACACAGGCATGACACAGCCATGACACAGGCATGGTCACATCCATGACACGGGCATGGTCACGTCCATGACACAGCCATGTGTGTGCCATGGTGCCCTGGGCACATGTACATGTGTGTGCGCATGCAGATGTGCACACGGATACAGGTGTGCACGCACATGCACGTGTATGTGCGCACGTGGACGCACGTATGCACACACTCAGATGGGCCTACACATGTATACAGGCACAAACATGCGTACACACATGCATGTATGCCTGCACACACAGACATGCCTGCACACATGCATGTGCACAGATAGGCCCATGCAGCCATGCAAGGGCATGTATGCGCATACAGATGTGCACACACATTCACATACATATGTGTGTGTGCACACTCGCACAGACACCAGCATGCGCATGCATGCATGCATGCATGCACACGGTCATGCGCACACACATCTATGCATACACAGACATGCCTACACGCGCGTGTGCACATGCACACAGACACACACGCACATGTACACGCATGAACATATGCACACAGTCCCAAACATGCACACACATGCAAACACATGTGCTACAGACACATACACATACATGCACGCACGCTTGAACACACATGTACAAACACATACACACACGAATACACATGCACACACATAAACACAAACGTACACACACATACAAACACATGCACATACATGTGTACACACATGCACAAACGCATGCACACACATGTGTACACATATGCACATACATGCACATACATGCACACACACATATACAAACACGTGCACACCCTCGGGCCCGGATCCCACCACTTCTGCACCCCCATCCCAGCACCAGCACCCCCCAAATAGCACCCGGCCCCCCCCCGCTCCTACCCACCGGCGTCACTCGGTCTGTGCCTGTCGGTGCCTCGGTGTTCTATGGGTCTGTGTGTCCGTGGGTCCTTGTTCTATGGGTCTGTGTGTCCGTGGGTCCTTGTTCTATGGGTCTGTGTGTCCGTGGGTCCTTGTTCTATGGGTCTGTGTGTCCGTGTGTCCGTGTTCTGTGGGTCCGTGTGTCCGTGGCTCTGTGTGTCAGTGTGTCCGTGTTCCGTGGGTCCGTGTTCCGTGGGTCTGTGTGTCTCTATCTCTGTGTTCTATGGGTCTGTGTGTCCGTGTGTCCGTGTTCCGTGGGTCCGTGTGTCCGTGGCTCTGTGTGTCAGTGTGTCCGTGTTCCGTGGGTCCGTGTTCCGTGGGTCTGTGTGTCTCTATCTCTGTGTTCTATGGGTCTGTGTGTCCGTGGCTCTGTGTGTCAGTGTGTCCGTGTTCCGTGTGTCCGTGTTCCGTGGGTCCGTGTGTCCGTGGCTCTGTGTGTCTCTATCTCCGTGTTCTATGGCTCTGTGTGTCGCTGTGTTCCGTGGGTCCTTGTTCTATGGCTCTGTGTGTCTCTGTGTTCCGTGGGTCCGTGTTCTATGGGTCTGTGTGTCCGTGGGTCCGTGTCCGCGGCTCTCTCTGTGGGTCCCTGGGCCGCGGGCTCCCTCCGGTGCTCCCAGCGGCTCTGCTCGCTCCGGTCCCGGTGCTGGCGGCGGCGCCTCTTGCCCGGGCGGGGCGGCCCCGAGGGGGGGGGGGGGGGGTGAAGCGGGCGGGGCGGGAGCGGGGGGAGCCGAAGGGAACCGGGAAGGGGGGGGGGGGATGCGGGGTGCGGAGCCCTGGGACGGGCCCGGGCCCCGGGGGCAGCGCGGAGCCGGGTGCGGGGGGGGGGGGGGGGGGCCGGGAGCGGGGCCACGGCCGGGGTCAGGCGGGGCCGGCGGTAACGGTGACACCGCGGGGCAGAAATGTCAGCGCCGGAGGCAGGCGGCTGCTCCCGCCCCGGGAGCTATTCCCGACAGCGCGGCTCGGCACGGAATGGGGCGGAACGGCGCGCACGGCACGGCACGGCATGCATGGCACACATGGCACACATGGTATACATGGCACACATGGCATACATGGCACACATGGCACACATGGCACACATGGCACGCATGGCACACATGGCATACATGGCACACATGGCACACATGGCATACATGGCACACATGGCACACATGGCACACATGGCACACATGGCACACATGGCACACATGGCACACATGGCATACATGGCACACATGGCACACATGGCACACATGGCACACATGGCACGCATGGCACACATGGCATACATGGCACACATGGCACACATGGCACACATGGCATACATGGCATACATGGCACACATGGCACACATGGCACACATGGCACACATGGCACGCATGGCACGCATGGCACACATGGCACACATGGCACACATGGCATACATGGCACACATGGCACGCATGGCACACATGGCACACATGGCACACATGGCACACATGGCACACATGGCATACATGGCACACATGGCACACATGGCACACATGGCACACATGGCATACATGGCACACATGGCACACATGGCACACATGGCACACATGGCATACATGGCACACATGGCACACATGGCACACATGGCACACATGGCACACATGGCATACATGGCACACATGGCACGCATGGCACACATGGCATACATGGCACACATGGCATACATGGCACACATGGCACAACATGGCACAACATGGCACACATGGCATACATGGCAGAGCATGGCATATGTGGCATGGCATGGCACACATGGCAGAGCATGGCATACATGGATGGCATACATGGCACAACATAGTGTACATGGCATGGCATACATGGCACAGCATGGCATATATGCCACGACATGCCCAGCAGGGCATAGGATGTAGGGAATGGCACGGCATGGCTTGGCACAGCACACGGCATGGCACAGCAGGGCTTGGCACAGCACACGGCACGGCACAGTGGATCCTGGCACAGCACTGTGCATATACCAGGGCATGGCACGGCTTGGCACGGCTTGGGCAGGTCCCCGCTGCCTGTTTACCTGGGCCCCTCCTTGGGGACCGGCTGGGGACTGGTGCAGGCAGGGAACGGGCAGGGATCGGGCAGGACGGGCAGGGGCAGCTCCCCCCCTCCATGAGCAGAGGCACAACGGAGCTCGGGCCCCCCCTTTCCCTGCGCTGTGCCCGGGCTGCCCGCAGGAACCCAGGCTTGGGGGTGCCCTGGGGACACGGGGGTGGCAACAGGCTCCTGGCAACGGCCCGGGGCTGCTCACAGCGGCGGCCCCGCGGGCACGGGGCGGGTACAGGCAGGGGGGTACCAGGGGCACCCCGGAGGGGGACACTGGGGTCCTACCGGGTAGCGGGAGAGGGGGGGCGTCGGGGAGATAGAGGGGAGACACCAGGGGTGGATGCTGCGGGAGATACCGAGGGGACATTGGGGGGATACCGGGGGGAAATGAGGGGGACACCAGGATGATGCTACGGGGGACACCGGGGAGACACCAGAGGGATGGTGGAGTATGACGGGGGGGTGCACAGGGGGACAGTGAGGGGATACCGAGGGGACACCGGGTGGTTGCAGGCTAGGATACCGGGGGGATAAGGGAGAGACACGGGCAGAAACCGGGAGGACACTGGAGAGCTACCGGAGGGGGGGACACCGGGATGATGCTGCGGGGGACACCGGGGAGATACTGGAGGGATAGCAGAGTATACGGGACACACACACACACACACGCACCAGGGGACACTGGGGGGATACCGAGGGGACACCGGGGGGGTTACAGGGTAGGATACCGAGGAGACACGGGAGGGATAACGGAGTATACGGGGGGGGGGGGGGGTGTGCACCGGGGAAAACTGAGGGGATACCGAGGGGACACCGGGGGGGTTACAGGGTAGGATATCGGGGGGATACGGGACACACACAGGGAGGATGCTTCGGGGGACACCGAGGAGACACGGGAGGGATACCGGGGGGGGGGTGCACCAGGGGAACACTGAGGGGATACCGCGGGGACACCGGGGGGGTTACAGGGCAGGATACCGGGGCGATACGGGGGACACCGAGGATACACGGGAGGGATAACGGAGTATACGGGGGGGGTGCACCGGGGGACACTGAGGGGATACCGAGGGGACACCGGCGGGGTTCCAGGGTAGGATACCGGGGGGATACGGGGGGGACATACAGGAAGGATGCTTCGGGGGACACCGAGGAGACACTGAGGGAATACCGCGGGGGCACCGGGGGGTTACAGGATAGGACAGCGGGGGGCCACCGGGAGGATGCTGGGGGGATACCCCCGTGCTCCCCCCCCATCACCGGTGATGCCCCATGTCCCCCCATCCCTCTCCACCGGTGCCCCCCCCTCTCCGTGCTACCTGTGGGGATACCCGTGTGTCCCCCACACCGAACCCAAGGCGTGTCCCCCCCCCCGCCCCGGACCGAGGTCTGCCCCCGTTGCCCCCCCCCCCCCATCCCCTTCGCACCGCTAACTCCTCCACACCGACAGGGGGCGCCGCGCCGCCTCGACTGCCCCGGCGGTACGCTCAGCGCGGCGCGGCGCGGCGCGGGGCGGGGCGGGAGCGTCCGGCGGCCATGGCGGACACCGAGAAGCTCAACCTGGACTCCATCATCAGCCGCCTCCTGGAGGGTGAGCGGGGACCCCCCCGGAACCCCCCCCCCGGCAGCGGCTGCGGGCCCCGGGGCTGCCCCTGCCCGGGGGGGGGGGCGGTTGGGCCTCGGGGGTTGGGGTCTGCAGAGGCCGCGGCCTGTACCTGGGGGGGGGGGGAGCGTGACCCACACGGGAGGTGTTGGGGTTGGGGGGCTCGGGGGGGTGGAGGTTGGGGGGCTGTGGGGTTCGCAGGTTCAGGGGGTTTGGGGGGGTCAGGGGGGTGTTGGGGGCCTGTGGGGTTGGGGTCTCAGGAGGTTCATGGGGCTGTGGGGTCTTGGGGCTCAGGGAAGGGGTTGTTGGGCTGTGGGGTTCGGAGGTTCAGGGGGATGGAGGTTAGGGTTATGGGGTTTGGGGGGGTCAGGGGGGTGTTGGGCTGTGGGGTTGGGGTCTCGGGTGGTTCATGGGGCTGAGGGGCTTTGGGGCTCAGGGAAGTGGTTGTTGGGGGCGGTGGGGTTCGGAGGTTCAGGGGGTTTGGGGGGGTCGGGGGGGTGTTGGGCTGTGGGGTTGGGGTCTCAGGAGGTTCATGGGACTCGGAAGTGGTTGTTGGGGGGCTGTGGGGTTCGGAGGTTCAGGGGGATGGAGGTTGGGGTTATGGGGTTTGGGGGATCAGGGGGGTGTTGGGGGGCTGTGGGGTTTGGGAGCTCAGGGAAGGTGTTGTTGGGGCTGTGGGGTTTGGGGGCTCCGGGACGTGGTTATTGAGGGGGCTGTGGGGTTTAGAGGCTCAGGGGGGTGTTGGGGGTTGTGAGGTTTGGGATGTGTGGGGTTTGGGAAGTTTGTGGGGCTGTGGGGTTTTGGGGTTCCGGGAGGGGGTTATTATGGGGCTGTGGGGTTTAGAGGCTCGGGGGGGTTGTTGAGGGGCTGTGGGGTTTGGGAAGTTTGTGGGGTTTTGGGGTTCAGGGAAGTGGTTATTGGGGGGCTGTGGGGTTCAGAGGCTCGGGGGGGCTGTTGAGGGGCTGTGGGGTTTGGGAAGTTTGTGGGGTTTTGGGGTTCAGGGAAGTGGTTATTATGGGGCTGTGGGGTTCAGAGGCTCATGGGGGTGTTGGGGGCTGTGGGGTTTGGGCCCTCAGGGGGTTATCTGGATTCTGTGGGCTTTGGGAGCTCAGGGAAGCGGTGGTTGGGGGGCTGTGGAGTTTAGAGGCTGAGGCTGTTGTTGGGGGTTGTGGGTTTTGGGGCGCTCAGGGGGGTGTTTGTGTTCTGTGGGTTTGGGGGCTCAGGGACATGGGGGGGGGGGGGCAGGCTCTGTGCTTTGAGGCTCAGGTGCATTGCAGGCAATGGGGCCGTGGCTTGGGGGCCACATGTGGGTTGGGGGGGGGGTGTTGTGGGGCTCCCCCCTTGATGTGCGTGTGTTGTGTCCCCCCCGTTCACCCCAACGGGAGCAGTGCAAGGCTCACGGCCCGGCAAGAACGTGCAGCTGACGGAGAACGAGATCCGGGGCCTGTGCCTCAAGTCCCGGGAGATCTTCCTCAGCCAGCCCATCCTGCTGGAGCTGGAGGCCCCCCTCAAGATCTGCGGTGAGCAGGATGGGTGCAGGCTGCGCTCAGCGCCCGGCCCCTGCCGCCCTGCCCCGCCGGGCGCCCTCACAGCCCCTCCGCGTCCCTGCTTGCCCCTGCTCCAGGTGACATCCACGGGCAGTACTACGACCTCCTGCGGCTCTTTGAGTACGGGGGCTTCCCCCCGAGAGCAATTACTTGTTCCTGGGGGACTACGTGGACCGGGGCAAGCAGTCCCTGGAGACCATCTGCCTGCTGCTGGCCTACAAGATCAAGTACCCCGAGAACTTCTTCCTGCTGCGGGGCAACCACGAGTGCGCCAGCATCAACCGCATCTACGGCTTCTACGATGAGTGTGAGTCATGGGGATGGAGCCCTCGAAACCCCTTTGCCATGGCCGGGCACCCCGGTGTCATCCCCGTGCACCCCGGTGTCATCCCTGTGCACCCCAATGTCCTGTGCACTTCAGTGTCATCCCCGTGCACCCCGGTGTCATCCCTGTGCACCCCAATGTCCTGTGCACCCCGGTGTCATCCCCGTGCACCCCGGTGTCACCCTGTGCACCCCGGTGTCATCCCTGTGCACCCCAATGTCCTGTGCACTCCAGTGTCATCCTCATGCACCCCGGTGTCACCCCTGTGCACCCCGGTGTCATCCCTTGTACCCCGGTGTCATCCCCGTGCACCCCGGTGTCACTCCCATGCACCCCGGTGTCATCCCCATGCACCCCAGTGTCATCCCTGTGCACCCCAATGTCCTGTGCACTCCAGTGTCACCCCGGTGTCCTGTGCACTCCAGTATCACCCCTGTGCACCCCGGTGTCACCCCTGTGCACCCCGGTGTCATCCCCGTGCACCCCAATGTCACCCCTGTGCACCCCGGTGTCCTGTGCACTCCAGTATCACCCCTGTGCACCCCGGTGTCACCCCTGTGCACCCCGGTGTCATCCCCGTGCACCCCAATGTCATCCCTGTGCACCCCGGTGTCATCCCTGTGCACCCCGGTGTCACCCCTGGGCACCCCAGTATCATCCCTGTGCACCCCGGTGTCACCCTGTGCACCCTGGTGTCATCCCCAGGCACCCCGGTGTCATCCCCGTGCACCCCAGTGTTACCCCTTGTACCCCGGTGTCATCCCCATGCAGCCCGGTGTCATCCCCATGCTGCCCCATTCCATCCCCTAATAGAGCTGCTGTGACCATGGGTGCCCTCCTTGTGCCAGCCCTGAACCCGCACCCAGCCTCGAGCACCCCAGTGCTCCCAGTGCCACACACACTGGGGGCCCTACACCCTCCCTGCACCCCCTTTTCACCCCCCCCCAACAACCACACCTACCCACTGACTCTGGGTCACCCCCATGGCATTGCCACCATTACCAGGGCCCATGCTCCACTTGGGGGGGGGGGGAGCCCCACAAGCTGCTGTACCCCCAATTTGCCCCCCCCGTAGGCAAGCGGCGATACAACATCAAGCTCTGGAAGACCTTCACCGACTGCTTCAACTGTCTGCCCATCGCTGCTATCGTGGACGAGAAGATCTTCTGCTGCCACGGAGGTGGGCATGGACGGCGCTTTTGGGGTGCCCCATGGTGGTGGGGTGCTGGTGAAGAGGATGAAGCTGATCCCCCCCCCCTCCCCTTTCCCATAGGGCTGTCTCCCGACCTGCAGTCCATGGAGCAGATCCGGCGGATCATGCGCCCCACGGACGTCCCGGATCAGGGCCTGCTCTGCGACCTGCTCTGGTCCGACCCCGACAAGGACGTGCAGGGCTGGGGCGAGAACGACCGCGGCGTCTCCTTCACCTTCGGGGCCGAGGTGGTGGCCAAGTTCCTGCACAAGCACGACCTGGACCTCATCTGCCGGGCGCACCAGGTATGGCCTTGGGTGTCGCGGCCCCCCCCGGGGTATTTGCTGTGGGGTGGGGGTGTTTTTACCCTAAGATTTGCCCTCCAGGGCAGTGTTTCATAGAATGGGTTGGGAAGGGGCCTTAAAGCCCATCCAGCTCCAACCCCAACCCCTTCCACTGGAGCAGCTTGCTCCAAGCCCCGTCCAGCCTGGTCTTGAGCACTGCCAGGGCTGGAACTCTTGGACCCACACAAGTTGGGGGGTGGCTGGGGGTGGGGGTGGTATTTTAGGGTCCAGCTCAGCCCCTGTGGTGCCCATGCAGGTAGTGGAGGACGGGTACGAGTTCTTCGCCAAGCGCCAGCTCGTCACCCTCTTCTCAGCACCCAACTACTGCGGGGAGTTCGACAACGCGGGGGCCATGATGAGCGTGGATGAAACCCTCATGTGCTCCTTTCAGGTAGGAGATGCCAGAGGGGTTGAAGGGGGGGGGGACACACACACCCAGGACCCCCCCCCAGCATCCAATTCCTGCTGGATGGGTGTAAAGAGAAGGTGCAGAGCCTCCCCCTTCAATGCGGGACAGGAGGAGGGATGCTGGGGGCAGGATGGGGTGAAACGTGCACACCACACACACACCCCCCCCCCTTACCTTTTGTCCCCCCTTTTCCCTCCAGATTCTGAAGCCAGCTGACAAGAACAAGGGCAAATCGGGCAGTTCAGTGGGCTGAACCCCGCCGGCCGCCCGTCACCCCCCCCCAGCAACTCTGCCAAAGCCAAGAAATGAGGCCCGAGCCCCCCCCCCTCCTCCCTCAGCATCCGGTCGCTTTTGCTTTCAACTCTTTTGGGGGGGCTTTTTTATTTGGAAGATCCTGAACACCTCCCCCCCCCACCCTGTTCTCCCCTTCCCCAGCCACCACCACCCCCAAATGCAAGCCCTAAGGGGGGGGGTTCTAAGCCCCCAACCCTGTGGAGGTGGATGGGAAAAGGGGGGGGGGTGAGCAGGAGGGTTTTTTTTGGGGGAATAAACTTGTAATTTGGGGGTTATGAGGTTTTGTGTGTGTGTGTGTGTGTGGAGCACCTCGGGGTGCTCAGCACTCGCCATCGCTGTCCTCTGCCAGCACCTCCTGCGTTGGGGCCGGGTTGGGCCCCGGTGTCAGCACTGAGCCAAAAACAATGAGCGAAACTGGGGGGGGAAAGGAGAGAAATGGGGGTCAGGAGGGGCTGTGCCCTCCCCGTGCCCCCAGGGCAGCCCCCTGCCCATCCACACCTTCTTGTGGGGGGGAGTCCCTGGTACAGCACCGCCGCCTCCTCCTCCTCTTCCTCCTCCGGGTCGCTGGGGGGGGGATGTGGGGTGCGCAGGGGGAAGGTGGGGCTGGGGGGTTCCCTCGTGCTCTCCTCGCAGGCGCTGGTTTCCATTGCCACATGAAGCCTCCAGGTCGTCAGCGAAGTCCTCCGAAGGGGCAGGCATGTGGGGCGCGCTGGGGTGCAGTAAGCAGAGGCAGAGCAGGGAGCGTTCACTCTGGTCCCTACTGATGCCAAGGTGGGACTGGCGCCCTCCTGCAGCTCCTACCCGTTGGATGTGGGGTGCTGGGAGCTGCTTCTGGGTCCGACAGGGTGGCCAGCACCAGGGTGACCTCCAGCACCGCGTCATCCAGGGTGAAGACCGCCGGCCTGGGGGCACAAAGAGCTTTAAGGTGGGGGGCAGCTCCAGAGGCAAGGGCCAGCCCCGGGGGTCCCCATTCCTACCTGCCGGGTGCGTCATAGTAGATGCTGAGGGGCAGGTTGGAGGCCTCTGCGAAGCTCAGCAGACCCTAACGGGGGGGCAAAGGGGGAGGTTGTGGGGGGGCTGAGGGGTGACCCAGGGCTGGGAGCTGGGATCCGGGCAGGGCCTCACCCGGAATTCCCGGAGGCAGAAGGTGATGTGGGAGTCCGGGACTGCAGCCACTGCCTCGAACTCCTCCTTGGCCAAGCACAGCTCCGTCACCATCGTCTTGCTGAGCTCTGGGGCAGGAGGGGGGGCCGTGAGGGCACCCCAATGCTAGGGAAAGGGCACCCCAGCCCCATAGCACTCACCCGCCTCGTCCTCCACGTAGTTCCGGAGGCTGATCTTGCCCCCAGGGTCAACCCTCAGCGTCACCCGGCCAGCGTCAGCGGAAGTGGACCACGGCCTCTGCCAGCAGCCTGTGCGACCCATTGGGGTGAGCACCCCAAATCCCCCCCCCCCCCCCGTGTCCATAGAATGGGGTCCTCTGCCTTCAGCCCATCCCAGTGTCCCCACAGCCAGCCCCGGTCCCCACTCACTGCGCCCGGGGCGCGGAGGCTGCTGGCGCATCGCTGCGTGTCGAAGACAGCCTGGAGCCGCTCGCACTCCTGGAAGGCCAGGTTGTGGGTCTTGGTGACGCCTGGCAGGGAGTTGCTCCGCGTTTGCCCCTCTGCACCCATCCGTCCCCTCCCAGCACCAGCACCAGTACCAGCACCAGCACGCACCGTACTTGCAGTGCAGTTGCACGACCAAGCGGCTGAGCTGGGCTTTGAGCAGGATGAGGCATTTCTCCACCGTCTTCTCCAGCGAGGGCAGCGAGCGGAAGACACCCAGGAAGGACTGGAGGGATGGGGATGGGGATGGGGGCAGTCACCCCCAAAGCGCTCCTGGAGCAATGGGGGGGCACAGGGGGGGTGGGAGGGGGCTGCACCTTCATGAGCACTTTGCATCGGAAGAGCTCGGTGTCGGGCTGGGGGCCGCCCGCCTCGTACCGCTGGAAGAAGTGGGGTGCGAAGAGGAAGGAGGCGAAGGCGGAGCGGAGGAGTTGATGGAGCGCAGGGACAGCTGGGGACACCGCACACATATAGGGTGGCTGTCGCTCAGTGGGGACAATGGGGGCACTGCTGGCCCCCCAGCTCCCGGCCCCTTTGGTTCCCCCGTACCCCGTTCTCAGTGGGCTCCAGGTAGAGCTCATCGCCAATGCGGGACAGGGAGTGCACAGCTCGGCCGAGGACTGAGGAGGAGGATGTGGGGCAGGGGGTGAGGAAGGGCACCCCATTGCCCCCCCACCCCATAGCCGCCCCCCACGGCCCCGCTCACCTTTAACGTTGCCTCCACGATGACGCACTTCATGGCGCGGGGTTGGACCCAGCGCACACGTGGCGGCTTCGCGCCTCCTGCCGCAGGCCACGCCCCGGAGCCGAGGCCACGCCCCTTTCCACACGGAAGCCACTCCCCTCCCGCCCCACCCGGTTGCTCTTGGCCTCCCCCCCCTCCCGCTCCTCCCCGTGCCCCCCGAGTGGTCCCTCCCGGGCCCCCCCGCCCCCCGCCGCCGTGGTTCCTCCCGCTTCACCTCCGCGCCGGCACCTTCCCGTCTCCCGCGCCGGCCCTCCCCCGCCGCCCTCCGATTGGTGGAGCGCCGGCCTCCGTCCCGCCCCTACCTGCAGCTGATTGTCAGCGCCGCAGCGCGAAGGCCCGGCGGCGTTTTCCGCGCCTTACGTCACCCGGCGCGGTCCCGCCCTACGCTGCTGGCTTCCCGCCGTAAGCCCGCCCACTCCTCGGCTCGCTATTGGCTGCGCGCATTGGAGTGACGCAGAGCTCAGCCAATCGGGCCTCGACGGCGAGTGGCGGGGGAAGCCCGATCCCCCCCCGGGTTCACACCGGGCTCTCATTCACCTCAATCCCTTCCATTCACCCCGGGGCACGCTCGGGGCCCTCCCGTGGGATGTGGGGTGGGAAAGGGGTCCCAGAGCTGGGGGAGGCCCCACATGGGGGGCAGGAGCTGATAAACCCATCCCGGGGGGCAGAGGGACCTGGGGGGTTCAATGTGGGGAAGAGAAGGCTCAGGGGGGACCTGATGGCTGCCTCCAAGTGCCTGAGAGGAGGATGGAGCCAGGAGGGGCTGGGCTCTGCTCCCAAGGAACAAGGGATGGGACAAGAGGAAACGGCCTCAAGCTGCACCAGGGCAGGTTTAGATGGAGCTGAGGAACAATTCCTGCCCCAGAGGGTGCTCAGGCATTGGAACAGGCTGCCCAGGGCACCGGCCCTGCAAGTGCTCCCAAACCCTATAGACAAGGCCCAGTGCTATGGGTTACGGTGGCCTTGGGGTTGGACTTTGTGCTCTTAAAGCCCTTTCCCAACCTGAATGATTCCATGATTCTGAGGATCCCTGACCCACACGTGTGGGCTCTGCCTCCCGAGCAGTGCCTGTGGGAGGGGGATGCGGTAGCCGGGTTGGCAGCAGCGCGTGGTCTCCCCATCCTTCAGGTGCTGGGAGCAGTGGGAAGCTCACAGCTGGAAGGCTGACGCCGTGCATGAGCTGTGTGAGGGCAGCAATGGAACAGGGAAAAGGGTCCCATTGGGGAGGCTGTGGTGGGGGGCTCAGCAAATCCCTTCCCTCCCGCACGCAGCCAACCTGGAGCAAGGGCTCGGGATGGAGCCTTGAGGCCAGGCTGCCCCTCAGCCCTTCCCCATCACACTCGGGCTCCATTGCCCTTCTCTGGCCCCGCTCCAGCACCTCAAGGTCTCTGTTGCAGTGAGGGGCCTGGAGCTGACCCCTGGTCACAGCCTGTGACAGGCTCAGCGCCGGCTCAACTCCCTCCTCCTGCGCTCGGAGACCAAAGAGGGGCCCCTGGATGGAGCCTTGGAGCGGGGCTGGCACCTGAAGGGGGCACGGAGCCGTTCCCCGGCATCCTCAGCCTCTCCTCCTCCTCTTCCCATCAGGTGCCTCTCCGGATGCTCCACGTCTTGGATCCGGACCCGACGCCCCTCGGCAGCGCATCCCCTCCAGGTACACAAATACCCCCCCCCCCCCCCGTTATGGGGCCGTGCTGCACGTATCTGTGTGCATGGGGAGCCTGTGGGGCTCCCAGCCCTGCCTTGGCCGGGGTTTGGGGTCCAGCCCCATTGGGATCTCTGGCTCCCGGCCCCTTCCTCCCTTCTTCCCAAGGGGAGGAAGGGCTCGTGCGTGTGTTCCAGCCCTGGAACAGCCACCGGGCTCCTCTGGAGCTGCTGTCCCCAGGAGGGGCTCTGGCCTCGGGGTCTGCGTTTTATGGGGCCGTGGATGGGACGCAGCTGCCTGCGCTCGTGACACAGACACCTCCGCGGTGGCCAAAGCCACGCGCACCCCTCCTGGTCCCCATGGTGTCGTGTCCCGTCCCCCCCCCCCACCTCCATCCAGCCGGGATTGAGCTGGATACAGGCTGGGAACTGGCCCCTGTCACCCCTGCGTGTCCCATCCTGCTGGTGGCTCCCATCCCAAGCACATGGCACGAGACAGACGGACGCAGCTGGATGTGGGGCGGCTGGGAAGGGACCGGCGTGGGGCTCCGTGGCTGCTCCATGCCCTGAGACACCCCTTAAGGAGCGGGGCCGGTGCCCACGGCGCACCCCGCGGAGGGGCCGTGGGTGCTTTGGGGTTGGCGATGAGCTCCCTTGCGGGCACCCCCCCCCTGTTGCTGGGGGGCGGCCCACGGGTACCAATGGTGCTGGAGGCCATGGAAGGAGCAGGTAGGGGCAGGCAGGGCCCCGGGAGCGCAGGCAGGGAGCTGGGGGGGGAGCAGCGGCCGCAAAGGGCAGCAGTGGGAGGCGGCGGCGCCGGCGGGGATGAAGGTGAGGTCAGCTCCGCGCTGGTGACGTGGCCCGGGGGCAGCAGGGTCGCGGTTTTGTCCCCCCCCCCCCCGGGGCTGGCGCAGGGCCTGGAGCGCAGGAGGAGGAGGAGGAGGGTGATGAGGATGAGGATGCTGCTTCCCAGCCCTCCAGTGCCCCCCTTGTCCCGGGGCAGGGGCATCCATCGGGTGATGGAGGGGGGCTTGTGCCGCGTTCCCCGTCTCCATCACCCTCCTCTTGCTCCTTCTCTCCCAGGTGATCCCTGCAGCCACAGAGCTGGAAACCCCACCAGAGCCCACCTCAATGATGATGGTTGGGAGGGGGCAGAACAAGCAGGACCCCCCCCCCCTCCCGCCCCACATCCCCAAGGCCGTGGAGGCTGCTCCGTGCTGCTGGCAGGGGTCTGTTGGCTCAGGGTAAGGGGGAAATCAGATCCCCTGCACCGGGAACGGCCCCATGCGGTGCAGGGCTGGAAGTGGGGACCTTCCCCCCCCACCACCTCCGCAGGCTGCTTTGGAGGGAGGATGCGGCATTCCCAGTGCTCGAGGTGGGGCAGCTCCATCCCCCCGGCCCCTCTGTCACCCATGGGGCTGCAGCACCCCCTGAACGAGCACCCAAGAGCTCTGTGTCTCAATGGGACCCCTCAATAGGAAGCACCCGGGTTGGAGCAGCACCCTGAGGACCTCCCCCCCCCCGTCGCCCTGGCGCACGTGTGTTGGGTGCTTCCTTATGGATTCCCCACCGAATCCATGTTTCCCACCCCATAAACCACCCCGGCCCCACCGCTCTGTGCGTGTCCGTGTGGGGTTTACCCCTACCGGGTGTCCCTAAACCCAGGGCTTGGTGGCTCCAGCGCTCCGAATCCCGACGGATTTAGAGCAAGGCAGGGTCGTGGCATCGCTCCAAGCGCTCACCCCGCTCCTCCGCACCCCGCGTAGAGCCGGGAGGATGCGATCGCGGCCGGGAACGGAGCCGGGAATGCTCGGACCTGGCTGTGGCCGACACGAACCCGCCTCGGACCTCCCGGCGCTCCCAGCGCCTTTGTTTTAAACAAAGCTCCTTATTTCGGGAGGCCGGGGGGGGGGGGAAGGGGGACACCCGGTTCCCTTCGCCCCCTTGGCAGCACCCACGGCTGGGGCAGGAGGGGAAGGGGACGTTGGGGGGGTCCCGCGGTGCGGGGCAGGGCACGGGGTTTGCAGCGCGCTCAGCCCCGCGGCTCTGCCCCGTTCACAGCAGGGGGGGAAGCGGCCGCGGTCACGGCCAAGTTCCCCCCGCCCCGACCAGGGTTCGTCTTAACGGGGTCGTCAGATGAGGGACGGTGGCTTGGGGGGGGGGGGGGGGGGGTTGCGGTGCGGTGCGGGACCGGGGGCTTCCATCCCCGTCCACCCGTGAGCCCCGCTGCGGGCTCCGCTTCTATCGCCGGTGGCTGAGTCGCGATCGGAACCCACCGAGCCCCGACGGCCGCGCTCCCCTCGCCGGGCCCCGCTCACCTGCGGCCGCCCCGTCCCGTCCCCGCCGAACCGGAGCACCGGGGTTTAGGGGGGGGTGGGTCCGTTTGTCCGTGCCCCCCCTCGGGAGCCCCTCACCCGAGGACTGCAACCCCCCCCCCCCCCCGTTCCCGTCTCCGCCGCTCCTCCCCGGTCCCGGGGGGGGGCGGTCGGTGCAGGGAGGGGGGGGGGTGTTCAGGCTGGCACCCCCCGTTCCCCCCCTTCCCGTCCGGGCTCCTCCGCACCTCGCCCCGTCCCCCCCCCCCTCTTCCTTTCCCCGGACCCCCCCCCCCTTTCCCCGTCCGTCCCCCCCCCCGTTCCCCCCCCTTCCCCTCCCCGGGGGACCGGGCTCTCGGCGTGCGGCGGCGGCGGCGGCTCTGTGCGGCGGGAGGAGAAGAAGCGAGAAGGGCTCCGGGCGGCAAATGGGAGCCGCGGTCCCGGTCCCGGTCCGGTGTGCGGGACCGCAGCCTCGGACCCGGGCAGCCCCGAGCACGCACCCCCCGCCCCGCTCCCGCCTCTGTCCCGCATGGAGCTGCGAGCAGGTACGAGACATCCATCCCCCCCCTCATCCCGCTCCTTCTATCCCCGTTCCCCGCCGCACCGGCCCCGCACCGGCCGCTAACAAAAGCTGTGCGGGAGCCAGAACCGAAGGGAGGGAGCGAACGGGAAGCGGGGGGCAGCACCCCCGGATCCCCCCCTTCCCCTTTTCCCCCTTCCCGTTCTTTCCCCACCGCACCGAGGCTCGGTTCCAGCTTCCCACCTCGGCACCGGGACCCCGGGGATGGGGAGGAAGGCGAAGGGAATGGGGAAGGGGCCGAAAGGCCGGGAGAGAAGGCGAAGGAGAGGGGAGGGAATGAATGGAGCCCGCTCTTGTGTACAAACCCCATCAAATACATTCTTGAAAGCAACCTGGTTCTGCTTAACCCTGGAATCGGGAGGGGAAGCAGGAGGGAAACCGAAGGAGGACGAGGGAGGGCGGCAGCGCGGGGAGGGTGAAAGCGCTCCGGGTTTTATCCTCGCATTCCTGGACACCAATCAAAAGAGCAAAGCAAAGGAGGTGGAAAAGAGAAAAGGGGGGGGGGGGGAATAGAGCAGCGAACGAAAGCAACCGGAGCATTGGTGCGACCCCGTCCCCAAAAACCAACCAACACCCCCCCCCCTCCAAACACACCCAGCCCCAAACTTCCTTTTCTTTGCTTTTTGGCCACTTCACCCCCAAGAAGCACAGACCAAAACAAACAGGGACAAGGAGGAGGAAAAGCAAAGCACCAAACCCAACCCCAAAGCCAAAGCGAGCCAGGGCAGCGGCCGGAGCCAGCGCCGAGCCCCTGCTTCGGGCTGCTCCCCGCTTGGCCTCTGCTCCTTCTGCCCCCCCCAAAAACCCTCTCCCTGCACCCCGACTATGCTAAATGTTGCTGGGGAGCTCTCAGGTAAGAGCGGGGCCGGGGCCGGGGGCTGCTTGCGCTCTGTTTGCTATGGGGGAAACAGGGGGGGTTTTGCCTTGCCGAGCCGCTGCTGATTCCAATTTGATGTGATTAAAACGTCTGGCTCGCTTTTGGCATTGATTTAAGGCTTTCCCCCCCTTTCCTCTCCTGGTTTTGGGTTTAGTTGGTTGGTTGGGGGTGGGTTGTTCCCCCCCCCCCCCCCCCCCGCTTCCCTTTCTCTCTTTCCCTCTTTTCCATGCATGTTTGTGATTACCAGGGAGGGAACGGCCGCTGAGCACGGAGAATTAAAGCCCAGCGCTGACAAGAAGGGGAGGAAAACGAAAGTCGTTGGGATTTAGGGGGGTCGGGAAAGGTCCTTTTCCTGCCCCGGGACTGGATTTCGGGGCTGGGTTCCGAAACGCTTTGGTTGGAACGAACGAGGTTCCTGCGGGACGCAGCAGCGGGATATGGGGGTGCTGAGGAAGCGTCCCCTCTGCGGCCGGGACCGCGGGATGGTTTTGTCCCCTTGGCCTCCACGGGGGTGCCCGTGGCCGGCCCCGGCGGGATGCGGGGTTCCTCCTGCGGGAAAAGGCTGCAAAACCCCTTAAAAGGTCAAATCCTGGGCGCCGGGAGGCTCCCACCCGCTGGGACCGGGACCGGGACCGGGACCGGGGCACCACGAGGCCGGCGCCGGGTTTGGCCGCGGCTCCCGCGGTGACGCAGGACGGGGCAAAGCGGGGCGAGCGCCGGGGAACCGGAAAAGCGAGGCCGGGAGCCCCGGGGGCCTCCATTGCCCTCCCGTTCCCTCCGGCCCCGCAGGACGGGGCCGCGCCACCGGCGGCGCAACCGGTACCGGGGCCTTGCGGGACGGGACGGGGACGGGGACGCAGAGCCCCGATGGGGTTTTAGGGTGAGAGCGCGGCCGCCACCGACCCCGCTGCCCTGTTCTGGGGGGTCCCCAACCGGGGTCACCCCAAGCTCGCCCCGGGGTCCCGGTCCTATGGAGCCGGCTGCCCGGGCACGGTGGCGGCGCACATCTGGGCTGCATTAAGCGAGCAACCTCCGAAGGGAAATGCAAAGGGTTCTGCTTACAGGGCCGGGCTGAGGGGGGGGAGATTTATGCCCTGTTAAGTGGCACTGAGCTCCGTGGACCCATAAATCACCCCACACCCTCCCCAGGGCAGCACCCGGACCCTCTGTGCTGTGCTATGGGCACCCCATTGCGTAGCATGGGGTGCCATGGGTTGTTCGGCATCACCAGCACCATGATAGGGTGCAGACGGCACATCTGGGGAGCAGCCGGTTTGGCTTGTGCCAGCAAAGCGCCGGCGGTGCTGGGGCACGTGGCTGGTGGTGATGGAGGTGGCCTGGGCTTGGTCAAGGTGCTGTGGGGGCGCATGGGGCCGGTTTGGGCACCAGAGCATGGCCATGGGGAGCTGCTGGTCCCCTGTTGATGGTGGTGGTTGCTGTAGGGACGCATGGGGCTGGTTTGGGCATCAGGGCATGGCCATAGGGAGCTGCTGGTCCCATGTTGATGGTGGTGGGTGCTGTGGGGACACATGGGGCTGGTTTGGGCATCAGGGCATGGCCATGGGGAGCTGCTGGTCCCATGTTGATGGTGGTGGGTGCTGTAGGGACGCATGGGGCTGGTTTGGGCACCAGGGCATGGCCACGGGGAGCTGCTGGTCCCATGCTGATGATGGTGGTGGGTGCTGTAGGTACACATGGGGCCAGTTTGGGCACCAGGATGTGGCCATAGCGAGCTGCTGGTCCCATGTTGATGGTGGTGGGTGCTGTAGGGACACATGGGGCCGGTTTGGGCACCAGGGCATGGCCATAGCGAGCTGCTGGTCCCCTGTTGATGGTGGTGGGTGCTGTAGGGACACATGGGGCTGGTTTGGGCACCAGAGCATGGCCATAGCGAGCTGCTGGTCCCATGTTGATGGTGGTGGGTGCTGTGGGGACACATGGGGCCGGTTTGGGCACCAGGGCATGGCCATAGCGAGCTGCTGGTCCCATGTTGATGGTGGTGGGTGCTGTAGGGACACATGGGGCTGGTTTGGGCACCAGAGCATGGCCATGGGGAGCTGCTGGTCCCATGTTGATGGTGGTGGGTGCTGTAGGGACACATGGGGCTGGTTTGGGCACCAGGGCATGGCCATAGGGAGCTGCTGGTCCCCTGTTGATGGTGGTGGGTGCTGTAGGGACGCATGGGGCCAGTTTGGGCCCCAGGATGTGGCCATAGGAGCTGCTGGTCCCCTGTTGATGGTGGTGGGTGCTGTAGGGACACATGGGGCCAGTTTGGGCACCAGAGCATGGCCATGGGGAGCTGCTGGTCCCCTGTTGATGGTGGTGGGTGCTGTAGGGACACATGGGGCCGGTTTGGGCACCAGAGCATGGCCATGGGGAGCTGCTGGTCCCATGTTGATGATGGTGGCTGTTGCCTGGGTGATGCCAGCGATGATGGCAGTGGGTTTGGGGTACCGGGACGTGCCCCCAAAGCTCTTCAGTGCCCCATAGGCAAACCCTGGGGGGGTTCCCCTGCTCCACTGGAGGCACATCCAAGCTCCCCGGGTCCCCATCGGGATGCTGGGAAGCCGACCGGGACGCCTCCCACAGCTCCTCGGTGCCGGGCCGGGTGTGCGTGCGGGGCAGCGGGGTCTGGTTGGGATTAGGGGGCCCGGCCCCCCCCGGCGGGGGTGTTTCCAGCGTGCCGCTGGGCTGGAGCCGGATGGGGATTCCAGGCCCAGCTCATTACGGCCTCGCTGGAGTCTCCCGTGCGCGGCCGCAGTTATAAACACACGGAGGAGACAGGATGTAAACACTCGGCGCTGCGAGCGCAGGCACGGCCGCGGAGGGGGCGGATGTGGGGCCATGTGTTCTGGGGGGGTGGGTGCCCCTTCGGGGGGGGGGCTTGGCCATGGGGGCCCCGTGGGGTCTATGGGAAGGGCTGATGGTGAGGGTGGGAGCGGGCAGGTGGTACCCCATGGGATGGGAGGCAGAGCCCACGGGTGGGATGCTGGGGGTGATGCGGGGGGCAGCGGTTGGGGACATTGGGGACACCAATGGCTATGGGGTGCGTGAGCATCCCTGTGGCCTCACTATGGGCTGCTGCTGCGCCTGTCTGATGCTGCAGTGGGGTTAAATGCCACCAGGGACGTCATCGACACCGATGCTTGGCTATGGGGCGTGTGAGCATCCTCGTGGCTCCACTATGGGCTGCTGCTGCACCTCTCTGATGCTGCAATGGGGTTAAATGCCACCAGGGACATCAGCGACACCGATGTTTGGCTATGGGGTGCATGAGCATCCTCATGGCCCCACTATGGGCTGCTTGTGTGCCTGTCTGATGCTGCAATGGGGTTAAATGCCACCAGGGACGTCAGCGATGCTGATGCTTGGCTATGGGGCACATGAGCACCCTTATGGGCCCATATGATGCCCCAGTGGGGTTAAATGCCACCAGCCTGATGACAACGGTGTCTGCCCTTGCCCCATTGAGCATCACCACCCCAAACCCCCGTGGTGCTGCCAAACGGGAAGGGTTGCACTGAGGATCCTTTATCCCCAGTGCCACAGCCACGATCCCATAGGAGCCCTGGGAAACCAGCCTGTTGAGGATCCCCCCCCTTTTTCCCTATTGCTTCCCCCCCCCCCCCCCAGGCTTTCGGGAAAGCAGCTTTTGGGAAGCTTTGTGGTCACTCCTGACCTCTGCAGCTCTGCCCACAGCATGCCCAGGGAACAGCTCACCCGGCTCCGTGGCGGCATTCCCACCTCCAATGGATGTGGGGGGAAGAGATGGAAAGGCTTCACGGGCATCCCTGATGCGTGTGGTGGTGGGATGGCGGATTCCATCCGCCATCCCACCACCACACGCATCAGGGATGCCCGTGGTACCCGTTTGGCGCCCGCTGGTACCCAAGGCCCGCCCCTCGCTGTGGGTGCCGTGGGGTGATGCAGTGACCCTGGGCAGCCACTCCATGAGCTGCTTACGTGGGCCGGGAGCATCCTGGCCGCGCTCCAGGGTCGGTTTTGAAAGCCTCCGGGCTCTTCCTTTCCGACGTCACCGGGATCCAGCTGCGCCGCTCCCGCCTCCCTGCGCGGCTGCTGCTGCGGGG